TTATAACTTATACAATACTAGTAAGAAAAGCTTTCTGTATCAGTCTTCTTATCTCTGAACAATAAAATTGGTTCCAACCTAAAAAGAAAATTATAAATATAAAATAATACTGTATTTATGCTACCATCCAACTCATCATCATTATTATTATTATTAAGCCATGCACCACTAATAAGACGATGACAAGAAAGCCAGTGATATATTCACTTGGTAATGCCATTGGATGATTAAAAGACCAAGGATGTGGCACTTTTGTTGTACTGCAAAATACTCAAAAACCATTACGTTACAATTTAAGATTAATGGATCTTTAAACAAAAAGCTGTACATTCGAGTAAGGCAGAGGAAACTTTAAAAATACAGTTGTATTTCTATACACTGGGTAGGGTTTAGCAAACTTTTTCTATAAAGAGTCAGATGGTAAAAGATTTTAGGTTTTGTGGGTTATATGGTCTCTGCCACAACTCCTCAACTCTGTTGTTGTTAACAGGAAAGCAGCAGTAGGCAATATAGAAACAAGTGGGTATGGCTGTGTTCTAATAAAACTATTTGCCAGATTTGGCTGACGGACTAGTTGGCTAGCCCTCTTTTACGGATATAGGGTGCATGGGCACATTGAATACGCCTACATATCTGTATATGTAAGTGGGGTGCATATGTGTGTTAGCACAGCAAATCTCTGTTTGCCTGTCCCCATAGTCATGGCAGTTTCACAGGCACATGATCAGTGGAGTCACACGGGTGGTGTTTAGAAGGGCCCTGCACCTACAATTTAAAGCTCTGTGATCATGAAATTCTTAATGATTCTATCTTGGGATTTGTGTTTTGTAAGTGCAGTCTGATGGACTCATGGAGCCTGGTGTTGTCGTTCCACTGCCTCACTGCAGCCTTGGGGCAGTTCTCAGAAATGTGTTCCCCTCCAACTTCCTCTTTCCTGACCCTGCCTTGCTACTGTTGCTGCCTTCCACCCAGGGTGGGACCAGGTCATGTCAGCAGGAGAGGTGTGTGTTCTGCTGTTGTCCTTTGCTTCAGGCAGGATCCTGGACATGAGTCTAGGGAGGGGTGGGTTGATTGTGCTTATCCCTGGCATCTCGGGGCAGCACATAGGAGGTGACCATCCCTGCCCCAAGCTGGCAGCACCACAGCACATTCAGTGGACTCAGTGTGGAGCCTCTTGTCCACCCCTGATCCAGGTACCAAGTGTGTTCCAGCGTGGAGGTGGCAATCTCTTGGGGATTGCCTGTCTGACCTTCTTGGGATGGGGGAGAATGACCCCCCCGACTTCACGCTGGGGCATAGTATGTGCACACCCAGTCATGGGGCACCTGTGGGATCTGCACTCCCCCATAAATATCCTTGTGCTGGAGGAGGCCTGACACCAAAGAGCAAATAAAAAACACTACGACCCGTCTAGGGTAGGGGGGACAGCCAGACAGCCAGACAGACTGAAGAAGGAAAAAGTTTTATATTTTAGGACCTTTAACAACACTTTTTTCCTGCTTTCTGAACAAAGGGTCTTATATTTTCATTTTGCCCTGGGCCCTGATCAAAGGTTAGGGGCTGTGAAGAACTATCTTCTGAGATTAGTCTACCAAAATGGAGCTGACAAAGAAAACGCCACTTATGCATTGTCATTTCTGGTCGGCTAACCCTTGTAATGCCAGGGCTTCCTGCAGCATTTCTAAATCTTAAATGTAAGGATCTGACATTAATTATGTATTTTAGGTTTCAGACTCTAAGGAGGTCCTTTTGGGATATGATGATCAGGAATGCTGCATGGTAGCCACATCCCTCATATAATTTGCTACAGGATTAATTCATATTTCTTTAGAATGATGATGAAGCATTTTATGCATGTAAAGCACAATCAAAACATTATATATGAAATTCAACAGACAACAACAAAGGAAGATAAAATTTCACTAAGATTTCCCTTTATTTCCTATTGAAAAGAGCAATGCCAGAGCATTTTAACATACAAAAACATATCTGTTTTCCTGATTTGACTAAACCAACAGTAAAACAAAGGTTTTTGAGACAAAGAAGTTTGAATATAGGCTAGGCATCATTTGATGTTAAAGAATTATTGTTAATATTGTTAGGTAGGATAATGACAGAGTAATTGTACAAAAATATCCTTCGTGGATCCACATGGGTATTTACGGGTAAAATAATATAATGTCTGAAATTTGTTTTAAATGCTTCTGCAAAAGGAGAAGCAGAAGTGGAGGAAGAAGACAGATAAGAAGAGAAGGGGGAAGATGGAGAAGAAAAAGATGACAAAGAAGATAAAGAAGGTGACAACTGAAGGCAGTGGAGTTGAGAGGGAAAAAATGTGATAAATGGAATAGGATTGGCAAAATGATGAACATGGGCGATAGAAATGTGGGGATTCATGATAATATTCCCTTTACTCTCATATGTATTTTTAAATTCACATGATGGAGTGTGTGTATCTGTGTGTGTGTGTGTGTGTGTGTGTACCTACTGCCTACAAAAAATTTAATAAAAATAAAGGCACAGATTTCACATTATCCTCCATTCCGAATGCTTTTTTTTGGTGCAAGAAGCATCCTCTGAGGCTGACAGGTGTTCTCTAAGCTGAAAAGATACAAAGGAGTTGATGGGAAGGATAATCCGCCCATCGGTTCCTGACACAATATAAAGAAGAAAAGAAGAAAGTGGGTGGAAGAGACTGTCATTGTTACTCTCCTAACCTTCCCTTCTAATTATGCCAGAGTCAAGGCGCAGGTCATGAGGAAAATTATTTTGGTGGTCAACCATTTGCCCTATTTTGTATACATCAAAAAGGCTCTTGTTCTCACCACATTCCAATCTCATAGTTTCCCACCTACTTTAAAAATATATCAAGTGGTCATATTAAATCAAACATGAATAAAAGGCTATCTTATGAAGAACACCTTGTTTGCAAACCAAGAGATAACCTTTCTGTGATGTAAAGTGTTACACTTTAAAAATTAACATACTTTATATTATTGAAGGCATTTCAGATAAATGCTCAACATGCCCAGCTTTTAAAAGTTAAATGTAAATTTTTCTCTTGAGTGCAGATGGTGGCCAAGCAAAATAGCTCTTTGGTCTTACAGACAGAAGGTCAGGTCATGGCTGAAAGACCAAAGAACAATTGCTGCTTTGCTACTCCAAATCATCCATGGAATGAGACACCACTACTCTCTTTTCTGAAACTGTGTGTTCAATACAAAAGAGTTACAAAGAGTACCTATAAGATTTCCTCACATTCTGTCCAAGAAAAAATGGTAACAAGCACATCACATCACAAACATCTTGTAACTGCTCAGAGGTTTTATTCCTAAACTATGATCTTCTAAAAACGTACATCTCTATCTAAACACTAATCACTAAAAATTATTATGATAATTGTTAAAGATTCACTGTTATAAGGAAATGTTTCCAAATGAAAATTTCTTTTAAAATTCTGCAACTTTAGCTTCCATACAATTAGAGGTTAATTAAAATGAGATACAGTGCTAAAAGAAAAATATCACAAATACTTCTAAACAAGTTCACTTACGAGTGATATAATCCTATAATTTTTTCCTCTAGAACATTATAATGAAATTTTAAATAATTCAGAATCTCTTTCCTGCTGTATTTTTCCAGTTAGTCCAAAATATTATGCTGGTAGAATGCTATAGAATAATATAAAAGGCATATAATAACACTAGTGAGCATGGCAATATGATACCTTTTCAAAAAAATTGTAATACATCAGCAAAGGAAAGTTATCTGTGATTGACTTAGTAGTCCAAGGCCTTGAGTCCCTGATAGAAAGAATTTTCCATTTTTCCATTCCACTATCAGGCACGCCCCCAACTGGATGAAATGAAATAGTTTCACTATTTGCACATGTTAATAATGAAAAATCTTCTGAAAATTTAAAACTTATAGCACTTTGAATATAGTGATACACAAGCAGAATTTTACTTTGGCTGTCAGGATTTTAATTTAGTACTAAAGATTTCAGTTATGACTTAAAAAACAACTTTTTGTACTAAATTTCATATTACTTTTATTGTCAATACTTTTCCCAATTGTCTTTGCATCATTTGTTATAAAGAGTTGATTGGGTTGAAAGGGAAAATATGCTGAAAAATACAATAAAAAGCCTTGAACTACAAATATATTTGAAAAAAAAAATTTACTTGGAGCTACCTGCTTCTAAATTCTAAAGTGATTTCTTTAAAATATTGACACTACAAATTCAGTCTTATTGTTTTAATTGAATTAGATTAAACTATCTGCTTTCACTGAATATAGAGAATGTGAGCCTTCAAGGTCCTGTACTGTAAGGTAAAAATAGAAAATCAAAAGTCAGCCTATGAGGACTGCGGCTCTAAAAACTTTATCCATGTTGTCAATTAAAATTGAAGTATCTACTTGATCTCAACAAAGATATAAAACATCTGCTCAAACTGCAATTGAAGTAAGCAGCTTTTCTCCCCCAAACATTTCTAATGTCACTGTATTTAGGCTTCGTGAGCAAACGTATTCATGGTTATCTTAGTTAACACTGGTTTCACTCTGCCAACAATCAATTTGATTGACATATTTACATATCAACTCATCTCATCTTACGAATTTTAAACTTTTTCATTTAAAATTGGATTCAAGTTGGCATCTTTCAAGAACTTCATGTATGTATATTTTAGGTTCAAACTGTGCATTAGAACATTTTTTTTTTACTTTTGTAAGTAATAGATCCACATATCCAAATGTATATTTATGACCTGTCAGACTGGAATTTTATATGCATGCTGTTGTATTCTCACCACTTCATGTGAAAGGTGATAATTTTAGGCAACTATAAATGAAATTCTTTTAATAGTATAAACTGGATCATTCCATTAGTTAGAAACAATATAATGAAAATAAGTAACTTAGGAATAAAACTACATCAACTTCAGAAAGAACATCAGTTACACCTTCAATCGCTGCAGTTTTGCCTGTGTATCTCTTACCTGATCTTTAATTTCAAGATCCCTGTTAGTTTTTGCTCTGTACTCTCTGTGCTCCTTTTCTGCCTCATCTTTCTCCATTTGGGTTTTATTCAGCTGGTAGCGCATTTCTCCACACACCTGTTAGATTGTAAAAACTAGATCAATAGCTGCTGGAATCTACCAGGCAATGCCTGCAATTAGATCTTTTGGTGCCCCCTAGAGGTAAGATAGATAAAATACAATAGAGCTTTTCTAAGAATGGCATTTCCCATTAGAATATTCAATACAGCCAGTTAAGATTCGGAAGCAACATCAGGGATTATTGAGCCTAACAGTCTCAAATTAGAGATAAAGAAATGCATATAACGGAGGAATTTAAGTAACATGCCCAAGATTATTTTATGTAAAATAACAGTTTCAATTGCATATTATCATCTAAATTTTAACTAAGTAAAAATAGTAATTAAAATATTAAGCTATGTTATTATTCATTCAAATTGCTATGGTTAAATGTTCATTCTACATTGTAAAATTTTCCTTTAAGAATTTCATCAGTTAAGCTTTTATTTAAGGCAATTTATAAAGGAATTTTCCTTTCTGCTAATAGACATGTTATTGATATTTAGGTTTATAATACCTAGTATTTACTGTAAGCTTTATAGATAACATCACTCTTATCATGCACAATGCTATCTATGCAAGTTAAGAAAGATTTTTCTGGCAAAATTTATAGACTGGAACTAAGCACACTCTGCACTTACAACTGTAAAATTTAATATAAAAGGAAAATACGCTTTGAAGTGAAATAATTTTAATATATTATTAAATAATAAATATACATAGTATCATAAAAGTGATGCATGTAATCCTTTATACTTAACACTAAGAACTTTGTTTTATTTTTTGTTTCCAATCCAGGGCCACTACAGATACAGAAATACATTTGGAAAATGTAGTTAGCAGATAAATCTAAACAAGGAAATTATGGGCCTTTCGAGATAACAATCTGTAGACAGATCAATTAATACACAAGTCTGCTAAGTCTGCTTCTAATTTACAAATACAGGCTTTTAAAAATCATATTATCTAATGGTTTTTTTGCTTAAAACATTTCAATTTTGGTATTTCTTCCAAAAGTAGCAATTTTGGAAACATTAAAAATTAGCTTTATTATTACTGAGCTATTGGAATATACTAAAGTATAAAACCAATATGCATTTAAGCCAGGCATAGTAGTGTGTGCATGTGGTCCCAGCTACTCAGGAAGCTGAGGCAGGAGAACTGCTTGAGCCCAGGAATTTGAGGCTGTAGGCCGCTTATAATCACGCCTGTGAATAGCCACTACACTGCAGCCTGGGCAAGACAGTGAGACCCTATCTCTAAAAAACAAACAAATAATCAAAACTGAACCTAAAAAATACTTTAAAAATAAATTAATCTGGGGTTAAAGTTATAGTGACAAGCCAGAAGAAAAAGTCAATAAGCTTCTCCCCAGTGGCCGTATGAGAAAGCTAGAACAAGAATGAAATTATTAAAAATTCTACTTGAAATTCAAATACCTTCAATGTGTAGGAGTTGATTCTTCCCATTTCAAAAAATTATAAATTTATCACAGCTATTTTTTTAAGCTAAATGCAATTTAAAAATTAAGAATGACTGAGAAAAAATGAGAGGAACCCTAATTTATTTTCTTTCTTAATTCTTCAAGATGCCAATCTATTTATGTCTATGAATAAGATAGAAAAAATTCAAATTGATAATATCAGAAAATAATAATTATGCAACTATCATGTTTAAAATCCAACACCAATACAAATTTATTACGTAGCAAATGTCTAGAACATCAGATTCTATTTAAAATTATTTTATTCCTTAATTTCACTTTTAAAGTTCTTTTGTCTTACTACTTTCAGTTTAGCACTTGCTAAGTTCATCCATACCACTTAAGTTCCATTTAAAATAAATTAACAAATTAAATTGAATTAGAATTATATTATCTCAGGGTTGAAAGTAATCTCAAGTTCATTTAGTCTAATCACTCGTATGATGCTTAATCCTTTTGGATAGTTCCAGAGACAGAGAACTCATTCTTTACTGTACCACATTTCAACAAAAAGTTTTCTCCCTATAATAAGTAGAAACTATCTCACCACAGCTTTCACTCATAAATCGAAGGTAAGCATTTCCATCCCTCTGCTCTTATTCCCTTACTTCCTCTCCTGTCTCCACACAAACATGTCAGGTATATTGGCAAATATGGACTTAAACTTCTACATTAGCTGGCTCAAATTTTAGAAAGCAAATGGAGAATTATGGAAATTCAAGAAAAAAGAGAAAAATTGTTTCCTTTGCTAATATACAAGTTAAAATTAATTTTTATTATAGAATTATAGAGTAAAAATGGCATTAAAATGTGTGAAAATTTAGGAAAATATATTGAGGAGTAAAAGGTAATATAGAATGGGTATATGTTAATATTTTAATCAAATTATCTGTATTTAGTGGTGAAAAATAAATTGATTTCATTTATTACATTATGTATGCCCATAGTTCCTTAGTTTTAAAGCAATTGATTATTGAAATCTAAATGGACTTCTAGTATTTCTTAAAATATGTACCTTACTTATTAATCATAGCTAGTAAAGACCATTAATCATTTTAGTTGTTGATTCACAAGTTAGTGATACCCACAGCACAGACAGTAGTATTTTAAAGAATATTAGTAGCAGTATTTTAAAGAATAAATGTAAGCACCAATAAAATAAGACCTTACAGAATTAGAATCTTTATTTTAGTAACTAAGTCTGAAAAGGAATGAGAGGTGGAAAATTTTTTTGTGTTAAGCATACTTTTCAAGTTGTAAATTTATGTCTTTACAATTATTATAAAGCCTAACCCTATGCTATCTATGGCAAAAAAAAAAAATCACTCCTAATTAGCTAATTTAGAAATATAAGCTTTATCAAATATTCAATGATTAAAGTAATGTTAACTGTAATTTACAGGTCTGTCTCTGCCACTTGATGCTTAAACTCTTCAAAGATATTATTTGTGTCTGGTTCATCTTTGTATTTGCAGTTCCCAGCAGAGGGTCTGCATGTACTAAGTGAACGGTTGGTGAATGACCATTGGGTAGACGTTTATTATTCTTGAAATAACAAAACTTTTATATTCCAGACTTCTTCCTGATAATAGTAAGAGCTGTACATTAAAATATTTTTCAAAGACAATATTTATTTAAGTAACTATTAAACTAAAATCTCTTTTTCTACCTTTGAGACATCCATTTCCTGAGAAGCAAGCTGTTTTTGAATTTCCTCTAGTTGATTAATAGCTGAAATCTTCTCCCTTGTAACTTTTTCCACCTGGGCCTCCAGCTGGGCAATATTCTCAGACAGGATCAACATCTGTAAAAGGAAATAAAAGTCCTAAACGACAATGCCATTTTACAAAATAAATATTAAATCTTTCTTGAATTAACAGATTCTCAGCATAGTCACTGGGCTCTATCTGTGAGTCATTTCTCTATGGTTTGGGTACGTCCATTTCTCCACCTCTTTGACTCATCTATCCCTCATGACTTGAAATATGTACTTACCTCCTCTTCATTCCCCTGGTCTCTAACTTCATTTTGGAAAATGTATGACAAGATGATAAAATGAAAGTTGTGGTTGAAACCCTAAGGTGACAGATATCAGATACCCAAGTAAGTTATGGAATGGACTGCCATAAATAAATTTCAGAGGAGGTGTGAAGGAATCAGACAACTCCTAAACCTTCTCCCACATGGAGGGCATACAAGGATTGACTGGGAGAGTTAGAAAGACATGTTTAAAGGGAGTACTGGTCTGGTACGACTCCCACTCCCCTCTCCCAGTACCAACAAAGAGGAGGCTCTGTGTAGTTGCCTTTTGTTGGCAAAATCCCACTTGCCCTCCCACTATCTAGCTCTCCCCTATTTCTCCCATAGGATTCAGCTCAGCCATTATCTGCCTCCTCCAGGAAGTCTTCCTCGACCTCCAGTCCCCAGCACAAAATAGGTGTCTCTTCACATACTCAGGGTTAATAGTCAGCTATTGCCCACTGGGACAGACGTGCCTGTTGTTTGTAGCTCTCATCCATTCCCATTGATTGTTGCTCATGCTGTATTGATTGCTTAATATTTTGAATACCACTCTGGCATGTGCTCCTACAACAACCTCAGCACACATACCATCATCACACCCCAACCTCTGCATACTTCTGTCACGGTAAGTGTTCCATTGTTCTTAGTTGTCTCTTTGTTTCCTCATTAGACTAGAAGTTCCTCAGGGGCATGTTCCTCAAGAAGTACCAAATATTTGATGAATGAATGAATAATTAGAATAAATGGCTTTTCTGAGGAACTCTAGGGATATTAGGTTCTCAGTTTTCCTTCTCAGGATTAGAATCCTTTCTAGATCTTAGCCTTATCTTTTATAGCTTTTTTGTTTGCAATTTCGTTTTGCTCTGCTCCGACAAAGTCAAACTTTTCTAGGCTCTTACTCTTTTACCAGCATTAGCAGTTTTACAATGAGGAAGTGCTACCTTAACCCAGAGCGAAACATACAGGAATATCTATCAGTTTTTATTTGTTAAAACAAGAATTGATAACAAATTTCAAATAATGATATTTGAAATTTACCATTGTATACTGACATGTGTGTGAATTCAGTTTTATACCTGAAATCAGTAAGTAAAATTTTATGATAAAAACAAACATTGAACAAAAGTTTTGGTAAATTAAGAAACTTACATCAATAAAACCAAGATAGGTGTCTGCCTTTGAATTATATAACTAGCTAAAGTTGACTCATATGAAAATAATGAGCCCAGGTAGCTATTTTCTAATTTAGGCAGGCACATTTGTTAACTTTTCTGAAGACTGTGGAGAATTGTATGTTTGACTTATGGTTGTTTACATGTCCTTATTATTAAAAGATTGTCTACAAATCTAATTTGCACATAAAATTAGTTTTACTAATAAATGACAAAGTTTAGTTGTGGACATTACAATCTGAACCTAAAATTAATGGTCAAAAAAATTTAAATATAAAAAAATCAAAAATGTTAATTGAACTTGCTGAATTTAAAAATTTAAGTTCATGAGTATACATATTAGGAATGTATAATTATAGTTTTTCTGTAACCATACAACAGCAACAAACTTTAATTACCAGCTACTAAAAGTCATATATTACTTATGTGGAGATATACCTGATGGTAAACATTAACATTGTGTGGTTTTTGAAGTAAATATGCAGACATTTATTTTGCTAATTGTAAATCCTAGTCCATTTCTATTATAAGGCATGTAACAAATCTCTCCCCTTCCTTATGTTTCCCTCCCTCCACCACCCATCACTTCCTTCCTTTGCCCACTACCTGTCTGCTACCTCCTGTCACCCACATTCCGAGGTCTCCCCTCCTGTTGTCACACCTTCTTTTTCCCCACGCCCACCATCTGGAAGTCAACATTACACTGCAGGAGCTTCTCCATCCACATCTGTTGCAGAGCCAGAAGTAACACAGACACAGCTGCAACACGGCTGGATGTCCAGGACGTTGACATCAGGTAAGTCCTTTAAACTTTGACAGGGGCAAGGAGGAGACAAGGACACCCAGGTTGGGAGAGCTTGATAGAAATTTCTGCAGTACAGTCCCTCGTGTACTGAACATAGTATGAAGCAGTACTACCTATACAAGACATATAAGAATTAAGGATTCTAGCAATGGGCAATTATCAAGGAAAGCAACTGAGAAAACGTATGGCCCATAGGGGAGCTGAATAAATATATGATCAATGACCGAATGAACTAACAAACCCGAGTGACTCAGTGCGACCCAGGACCATTACTGAAGACAGCAAACAAACTCACAGCAAGCGCTGTTCGTGAGGGAATGATTCAAACCTGTCTAGGTAGAAGCATCTGCTCTCCTACAGCTTCCCACACAAATTGAATTTTTTAAAAACAGAAAGAAAGGAAAGAAGAAAAACCATAACAAGAAAGAAAGAAAATCTGTAAGTCTCACAAGAATTCCAACAGATAAGAAAGCCAGGATGCTTGCTCTAGTATTCATGATGTTGTGACTAATTGGTTAGTCTCCCTACTAGATTAGGTCCTGTGCTAGGCAGTGTGATATGCATTATTTCTTTAAATTCCTTTGGAGGAAAAATTACATTGAATCAATTTTCAGTTGAAAAAATGAGATTCAGAAAACTAAGTAAGTTGCCCAAGTTCAAGCTGGGCTTTATAGTCAAGCCTATCTGCCCTGAAGGTCCAAGAAATCTAACCAGTAAGAATACTTCTTTCTTTCTCTAAAATAATAATGATAATAGCCATGAGCTAAAATTTATTAAATGCTTATAGTAAGCCAGGCATTATATTAGGTATTTTTAAAACATTAGCTAATTTAATCCCATCCATTAATTTAATTAATACTAATTTAATCCTTAAAGTATTATCAAATTTATTCTGTACTTCTCTGAAATTTAGAGGTTAAGTGAATTGTTTAAGGTCACAGAAAGGTCAAGTTGGATTCAACCCTAAATGCTTTTACTCCAAAGCCACTTTCTGCCATTTCCTGGTGAGAGCACTTGGCTCAGTGCTGGGACCACTGTCAGCTCTTTATTCATACATCTTTATTTAGGATAGGACCTTCAGATCAAATGTCAGCCAAGGCTTACTGGGGACAAAATAAACTTAAATGACTAAGCTTCAGAAATGCACTGTATTTCCAGGGCCACCTTTATTCATGGAATACCTTCAGTACAAGAGAGGGTTCTATTACGTATGAAAGTACCTTCAATACTGCCAGGCACATTTCAGTCTTTCTTTTTCCTTTCTTACCATGAATTCTCATCAACATACTTTTATATGATAGAACTACTCAGCAAGGCAAATGGTTTCCACTGAACAAACCAAAAATAAAAATCTCCTAGGTGTGAACAGTAGCTGGTCTTTGCTATGGACACCACGTTCTGTCACACACAACACTCAATTCACAACTTCATCTCCCTCCACGGCTTATTCATGTTGGTTATAGGCAGTTATACACTGCATTTCTCAATCCTACCTATTCTTCCAAACTCAGTAAAATTCCATCTTCTTCACAGACCCTTCCATGAGCTCTTGCAGACAGGGAATCAGTTCCGATCCTCTGAACTCTCAGCCATTTAGTCACACCTTTCCAATGGCACAGAGACTTTTTTCTTTTCTTTGTATTTCTTTCATTCATCAAATATATATTTAGAACATTTTATGTGAGAGGAATGTACCAAGCAATAAAGAGGTTAATAGACCATACAAGTGAGGGACTCATATGGAATTAGGGGAAGCAAACTATTCAACAAGCATTTGCAATAAACTGAGTTATGGGAGACCACAGGGGAGGATCCCAATTCAGCTGTGGGAGGTTCTGAGAGGAAGTGGTATCAAGAACTCTGAAGGATCAGAGAGGGCAGAGGAAGATCCCTCCAGGCAGGGGGCAAAACACACACAATATCCTGAAATGAAAAGACAGTATGGCAGATTGACATGTCTGCATGCTTGAGGAAGCACAAATCGGTCCATCTGTATGGTGGGGGTGCAAGGAAGAAAAACAAAGGGAGGTTAAGACTGGTGAGCCAAAGAGAAGAAGACTGTTACAGAATCTTTATGCTGTGCTAAGGGATTCTACATTTTATCCAAGGTTGCAGGCAGACATAAATGATTTTAAAGCAAGAGACTGGCATTTTAGAAAGACCATCCTGCCTGTGGTCTAGAGAAGAGAGAGCAAGGAGGTGAGACTCAAGGCAAGGACACCACAGGGGCTGTAGAAATCATCCAAGGGTGAGAGATGGGTAGCAGTGGGATGGAGGGACAGGGAGATGTAAAATGCTTAGGGGCCTAAATCTCTAGAACTTGGTGACAATGAGATGTGTGGAGTGAGGGAGAGGGAGGAGAAAAGGATGATAAGATTTTCGTGTTAGGCAACTGGATGAGTAGTGAGTCCACTGGGATAGGGAAGATGGAAAGTAAAGTTGGTTTGGGAGCTCAGCAGGTAGTTAAAGATTTAGGAATCAATACCATATATATGGAATTAAAGCCAGAGTAGTGCTAAAGACACCTAAATCTATAGCTCTATGCTAAACTCTAGAACGTTCCATCAAGCTGCTTTCTGGATGTGCTCCTTCATCGTCTTAAAGGCACTTTAAACTCATAGTAACCTAAAAGGCACACATCGTCATTCTCTTAAATCAAGAATACAGATTCAAAGACATCAAGGAAAGAGAATATTTTAAGGAGAATAAGAACTAAAGGGATTCATTAAATATAGCACAAGCAGGTCTTCAGTCAACACAGCAATAGTAATTTCACTAGCTGTGGGCACAGAAGCTGAAATGCAGTGGGCTAAAGAGTAAACGGGCTGTGACAAAATAGAGACATGTATGGGCAAATCTTTCAAGAAGCTTGACCATTAAGAGAAAGAGTAAGAAGGGATATGGGATTACTGAAGCGGCAACCTTGGCTGCACATTGGAAGCACCTGGGAAACCTTAGACAGTACTGACACTTGGATCCTGCCCTCAGACAGTTTGATGTAATTGGTTTGGGGTGCAGTTTGGGCAATGAGATTTTTAGAACTTCTTGTGTAGCAAAGATTGAAAACCACTAGATTAGTAGAAAGATTGTTTCTCTCAACAGGTGAGAGAAATGTGAGGTATGTTCCTGATGACAAGAAAGAGGCTGTAGTGAAGGAAAGGTTGAAGACTGGGGGGTTGGGAGGAGAGGACAAAAGGAACCAGCTCCTTGAGGTGGTGAGAGGAGATGGGACCCATGGGAAGGAGAAAGGATTAGGATTAAACCTTTCCCATTATGACTGGGTTGAGATGCAGGTGAAAATTCATTTTAAGGCAGAGGTGAGGGGAAGATAAATAGTTGAGGTGGTTATCTGTCACCTAATGGCTTCAATTTTCTGTGTCAGGTAAGTAATGCTCTCTACTGAGAATGAGATTAAGAACCACTAGATTAGTAGAAAGATTGAGAGAATGAGCAGTAAAGTGGTATGGTAGAGAATTTGAGAAGAATAAAGTGATTTGAAAGAGTCTTTGGAAAATGGGTCCAAGATGCCATCACTTCCCACCTGGACAACTATAATTACCTCCCACCTGATCTCCAGGCATCTATTCTGGTTCTCCTTCCAATTTATTGAAAAAATGATTTTTCTCAAATATAAATGGCATCATGACCCTGTCCAACTTAAAGTCATTCAATGCCTTTCTGTTGCTTTTTGGATAGAATTTAAAATCCTTCACATAGATTTTAAGGCCATTCCTAATTTGGTCCCAGCATACTTCTCCAAACTCATCCCCCAGTACTCTGTCCCTCATTCCCCATGCTCCAGCCACCTGAGCCTTCTCTGTATTCCTAGATAGTATAATATGATGTTTTCCAGCTTCAGAGTCTTAGATGTGTTGTTTTCCTGGGCCTGAGACTCTCTTCCCCTCAACTCTTCACTTGACCACCCCTTCTCAACCCTTTTGGGTCTCATTTTTCAAAACTCTTTCTCAGGAAAGTCTTTTATGACTGGCTAGACTAGGTCCAACTTCCCTGTTACACATTCTCGTGGTACCCTATACTGAACCTTTACGGTTTTATCACAGTGATAATTAAAAACTCATTTATGAAAATACTTGTTTAATGTCTGCCTCTCCTACTAGTCTGTAAACTTCATGAGGGAATTTCACTGGTCCTGTGACTACCACATTCCAAATCCTTCCAATTGATGTCTGTTGAGTGCTGAATGAATGGGAGAAGGAGGAATGCATAGGAGGACTATGGCTGGAAAGCACTGGAAGAACATGGCCACTGAAGGCCATGAGTGTACAGCAGTGCCAGCTGCAAGGCTGTGGGATATTCACCAGTTGAGATCAGCAAGCCAGGGCAGAGAAAGTAGTAATAGACTGACCTACAGTAGGGTTTTGACAGACACAATTTTTTAAAAAGGGTAAGAAGACAAGGGAGTTTATAGTAAATGACTCAGTTTACTCATAAGACTCAAAACACACTGGGCAGTAGCTGTCATTTTCCTCTTTGTATATCCTTACACCTGCACATTGCCTTGCACACAGCAGATATTCAGTAGATTATTTGCTGAATGAGCTAATTACCACACATTGGAATATTATAACAACACAGCATTTAGAGTACAAGCTATGAGTCAACTTCTTAAAACATGTAACACAGTTGTTTTGATTACTTCATGGACCATATCTTGCTTAATTTTACTCTATTTGCAAATTTAAAGCTAGGTTCCACTAAACTCTATATTCCAATGTGTTACTGTTTTTTCAAACCCTGCCCATTTCATGTTATCTGTTCCTTTTGCCTTTAATATCTCCCTTCTTCCGGCTGTAGTCATTATTTACCACGTCATCTGTCAGAATTGATTTCATACAGAGTGTATAATTATTAGTTTGTTGTTGTTGTTGTTGTTGTTGTTACTTGGTTTCTTACAAGTGTTTTAACTTCTGCATGTTTAATTTGGGGGTAGGAGCCTGAGCAACATAGCGAGACCCCATCTCTACAAAAATAGAAAAATTAGCCAGGTGTGGTGAAATGCACCTGTAGTCCCAGCTACTTGGGAGGCTGCGGGAGGATCACTTCAGCCCAGAAGTTTGAGGGTGCAGTGAGCTATGATCATACGACTGCACTCTAGACCAGGTCACAGAGCAAGACCCTGTCTCAAAAAAAATTGGGGGATAGGAGATAAAGTTGGGGTGTTATCTCTCCTTGATCTAGCCAAGGTTGAAATAAAATCTAGGTATCTTCAGAGTATCTGCTCTCCTCTGGTAAACATGAGGAAAGGGAGTCTAACAGAATGGCAGGATTAAAGTAAATTTCACAGTTTCATAGTATGGAATCTAATTGACTATTTTATTTGAAAAGGTCAGAGAATAAACTTCATTGAGAAATATATGGAAAAATAGAATATTTTTAGAAACTCTAAATTGTAAGAAATTTGACTACTTATAATAAAGATTTTAAAATTTAAAGTTCATTCAAAAACTACAGCTTATAGAATCATCGATGATATCACAACAAACATTTCTTCTGCACCGTGGATAAAAGCAGAGTCCTTAGGTACCTTTGATCCCATGTCCTCCCTTTCTTTTGTTATTTCTTTTCTCATCATCTCTTTTGCAAAGGCCCTTTTCTCTTGCTGAGATGCGAGTTCTTTTTCAAGTCGCTCTCTCTGCCTCTCCAGCTCACTCTTCAACTGCTCACACTGGATTAAAGCCTGCCAGAATAAAACAGAATAAAAGGGGAGTCTAGAATTTGGAAAAAATAAGGGGAAAATTAGATAATTAAGCTCTAATTTTATTTAAAATAGTTGTAACTCACTATTAAGTCCGTTGGAATAATTTTGTATTTATTTATCAATACCACTTACTGATCTAAAATAGTATCTAAATGTTACATTTATTCACATATTTCAATTTTTATAATTAAGGCTACATTAGCTAAGCAACTATAAAATTCAGGTAATGAACCTTGATGAGGGCCACAGATGAGTCAGAATTTTGTAAAAGAGGATCAGAAAAACCAAGTTGTCTAGTATTTTCAATTATATAGCATATTTATACTACATGAAATATATAAGTATTTGATTTAACTAATTTCTTATTTGCTCACGGTTAAAAATTATTTGAATACTTTAAATGATAAACAGATCAAAATTTTAAAATGACATGTTGAATATATCATTACATACAGGCATCTATTGTTTAGTACTATATAATAATCATGTGTCCTTAAATGTAAGTAAAATAAGATTTAGTTCACTACTCTTACAAAGTGAAGTAAAAATTATATAATAATCAAAGTTAAAATAGGGAAAGATTCAAAACAGAAGTCACGTAGTTTTATGAGGATCATCATCCTCTAGTTCCAGTAAAAGTCCATAATTGTCCTTTAGTCTAAAATTTCCCACTCTGCATTTCCAGAAATAAAAACTCTCTAAGTTCCTTTTGGCCACATTTACAATATCTTTATTCATGATACCCAATAATAAAATATGACTTCAAAACCTCAATTTTTAAAAATCCAAATAAAATTAAGGTGCTATGGTATCTTATTCTTTTCCCAGTGGCTTATATCTACAATATCCACCTTACCCACCCTCTCTTTCCCTCTGAATTGGTAGAAAGGAACCCAAGTCTTAGATGACTTACATCCTGCATGATGATAAATTTGATAGTCACATTTGATGCTAATGGAGATGGAAATGGTCTCAGTAAGCACTGTAAGTTTTATGCATAGTTATGCTTCCCTCTGGTGAAAGCTATAATAAATACAGACAATAAATATCTAGGATATGTGAATTTTCCTCTCTTCCTTTTGAAAGGATTAAACTTCAATTTCTTTTGATCTCTTCTGAAAAGTTTCTGTACTCCCAAGCATAACATATGAGGGAAAAATTCAGTTGTCTCAGATTAACTGATAAACAAATATGACTAAACAATTATTCTCCTAGGGAGCTAGTCCCAAGTCCAATTCTAGTTGAGAATGCCTAGAAAGGGAAATTTTAAATTAGATTTTAAAAGGAATGAAAAAGTATAATTTTTCTATAATTTAAGTCCTTGGAGCTTGAAATACTATGAATTAGTGACTTTTGTGCTTCAAAATGCAATTGCTCTCGTGAAAATTACTTTATATGAATCTAATAAAAATGTTCGTAACTTTTGATGATATAATTAATACCACTGGTATGTATGAATAAAATGATTATTAAATATAAACCAATCAGAAGGTTTTCAATTGAACAAAAACTCAGGAGTCAACATCATTACATACTGGAACAGTGGAAGAGACGGCTGAAGATAAAAAACCAGGCTACCATGAAGAGCAACTAAAGAATCAATTCAAAGAACTCAATCAACTCACGAACAAGGAACACTAAATGATCCTGACAGGATAAGAGGCCTAATGCCAAGATAAGATGATATAGCGAAAAGGATAAAGTAAGAAGTTGTAAGCCATTGCTGAAGCCTTGGTTTTGGGGATGGCCTTCTATTAGGACTAGCCACCACCAATGGGTGATGAGTAAGTATGAAAGGAGCAATGAGATCCTGAATAAAATACTAGGATAACAAACAGTTATCGATGTCTCTTGGCATGGAGCCAATAATTACACATTATAAAATAGCTTTTACTTTTATTTGTTTTAATTTAACATATACTCTTGGTCACAATGAAAAAAAAACATTAAGGCTTAGCAACACTTGGAATTAGAAAAATGATTTAATCTTTCTAAAGATAATCTCTTTTACAATGCACCTCACATATTAAAAGATTTGGGTCTACTAAACAAATATTTATACACTATTTCCATTAAAGCTTTCTTTTAATTCTAGGGTTCCCTCTCCTAGTTTCCAGAATCCCAGGTGATTTGGGTACTCTCTGTTTATATTCACCTAACCATTCAATAAAGGCATAACACCTGAATTCTCAAAGGCAACGTCAGTGAACAGTCAAATATTATTAAACAATAGATCTTCTTAGTTTACCAAGTTAATTTGGGGCCTGCAGCTGTTGTTTCTCCCAGGTGTTGTTTCTTCCAGTTACCAAGGTGGTGGCTTCTCCCTTTCCCTGAGCACAACCCCTTTGGAAATGGCTGTAGGTCTCAGGGGGGTTGGGGAATTACACTTTCCTCCCACCCAGCAGACTCAATCCTCAAGGGATCTTTTCTTTTCTGGGAAGTTTCATTTGTGGTCACTGTATGCTGACCACATTAACACGTTTTTCAAAACATAATTTATTGAACTTGATATTCCAAGTTCTCATTTTGTTAAACCAAAGGGTATTATGCACTACTATCTTAACAGAATTAAAAGATTTTCTAAAACAAAGTTTATATCTAGTCAACTAAACTATTAAAAACAGGAAACCTATTGTAGGACATATAAAAGTCCTTCTTAACTTCTAGGGTTAGTTTTCTAGAAATCCTTGTGATAGAAGTAATCATGACTAAAAAATTAAGATCATATGAGAATTTGGAGCATTTCAGGTTGCTAAAAAAAAACTTATGAGAAATATAGAGTTCACACTTTTGAATATGAACTTTAAAACTTATGAACATGTTTTCATTTTTATGAAATAAAGCCCATAAAATAGAAATTAACATATTTTAAACATTTAACTTATAAATAATGCAAACTATTGATTTTAATTTATAAACCCTTGCTTACCAGAAACTTATCAGTCTATCCCTATCTGCCATTTTCAAGATATTTATAATTTCTTTTTGTTTTGCAGCAGATAATGGGCATATCAAGAAGCATTATTTTCTATGCCTGTGATTACAGCCAAATGCTCAATGCTTTTCTGATTTTCTTTTTACTCCAGGTTTCTAATTCCTGTCTTTCTGATTCAGTGTAATCCAAGAAACAGAATAATTTGGATATTTGAAAAGGGGGGAAAAAGTTTTTGCAAACATTTATCTAAGATACTGGGTTGGTATTTTTTTAAAAAAATCTCCTTTAGAGGGTAATCTCATTACAAATATGTTCATGGTAACTTCATGCCAAAGCCTGTGCCGTAAGCCCTCCCACATACTTTTTAATAATTTCCCTTGCCATACAAGCAGGCAGGTCTAAGGCCTAGTTAACCTTTTCACCTGCTTCTTGTAGCATTACCAGTGTGTCACTGCAAAAGCCTCTACTTTTCCACCCTCATTTATTTCCAGGTTAATTTTTTTTTCTTTAAAATTATCCCCAGTTGTAATAACTTGCAATTTTCAAACAAAAACATTTATTGAGCACTTACTTACTATGTGCTAGATATTTTACTAAGTGGCTTACTTGGATGAATTTATTTAACTCCCTCAATCATTTTTAAGTGGTTCTTATCACTCAGTGGAAGAAACTGAGCTTCTGAGACATTTAGTAACTTGCCCAAATCACAGACCTAGAAAGTGGAAGAGTAAGGAGTTGGTCCAAGGTAGATCCATACTAGAATCTCTGCATGGCATTAAAATTTTCTTATGTCACATATTTCTTTTCTTTTAAAATCCTCAGTCATTTTCACCGCCACTATGAATGTAAATATATAAAATAATTCCTCCTATTTACTTAGCATGCAATATGCAAATGGAACACTAGATGGCAACAAATGTCAAGGAACTAAAGAACAAAGTACCCATTCCACAGTTCAGTAATAAAAGCAGTTGGTTTTAAAATTAAAATATGTACGCCATCTGACTTTTTAATACTCTTAGAAGGCAAAAATCCTAATGTGTTTTAACACAGCTTTTAGATAAAAACTACTAAACTCGCATTACATTTTGTAAAGTGCTTAATAATCAATCCTTGCATTAATTATTCCTAATTTAGTGGAAATGCTATAGATTCATAATACACAATAGTCTTGCTTGTTTCTGTTAAATTTTAAAAAGCATTAATTATGAAACTTCATATTCATATTTAAAACTAATAATTGACTTAATTCAATTCAACAAATATTTATTGTGCAATTAAGATGCAAATTGTCATGTGGGGAATACAATGATAGATGTCACAGACCTGACTTTCAAGGTCTTTTGGTGGAAAGAACTATGTAGACAGCCACAACAATTATACACAACATCAATAGGAATATAGAGAAGAAGAGATTAATTCAAACAAGAAGGGGCTGGGGAAAACTTCTGGGAAGACTGCCACCTGAGCTCAGGCTCATCGGTCGAATAGATATTTCACAGATGAATACAGGGCAGAAAAGCATAGCACAATCAAATTCATGAAAATGGTCAATTGTATAATAGGTCCTGTTCTGGCAACAACACAATTATATGAAAGAGTGTAGTGAAAGTTAAGTGTAGGGAAGTTAGAGTGGGGCCAGATTGTGAAGGATCTGAAAGGTTATGCTAAGGAATTTGTCTTTTATTCTACTGCAAGAGGGGAGCTATCTGAATAGGGAGATTTATAATTCAGGAAGACTACAGCACCATTGTGAAAGATACACTGCAATTGGAAGAAATCTGATGGAAATCAATCAAGAAGCTACTGCAATAGCCTGCACAGGTTGTATAAGAGTATGTGAAGACTTAAACCAGGGCAGTGGTATAGGAATGGAAAGGAGGGCGTAACTAAACAGCGAACTCTAAAGAGCGAGATAGAGCTTGGCAACTGATTGGATGTCAAAGAGCGAGTGATGGGGAAGAGCCAAGATATTTAAAGAATGCAAGCCAGGGCTGTTGTTAAGATGGTGATGCCGTTATCTGAGAAGTTAATACAGAAAATGGTAAAAGGAAAAGGAGTAGTAGAGCAAATTGATAATTTGGTTATATAGAGTTTCAGATGCTAGCAGAATATCATCCATAAAAGGAGATCTAGTAGCAGCAAGAAATGTAGGGCTGAAGTTCAGGAGAGCAGTTAGAGCCATAGGTGCAATGTGGGAGTGTTACAAATGATGGTAATATTTGGCCCTGAAAGGACATGTGAATCCCAGGAGATCAGGGCAACATGGGTAGGAACTAACTCTGAGGAATGTCTACACTTAATGCTTGTGTGAAACAAGTTAAAAGAAACTTAAGAGGAGCGATACAATGTGGACCTATGAGAGTAAAATATCGGCTAAATCAAGGGAAAGGGATGATATGTTATGATAGGACAGTTAATGGCTTCCAAAACTGCAGGTTGAGTCAAATGAGGATTGAGATGAGGTCACAGGGTTTGGTAATCAGGAAGTGAATGGTGATCATTAAGTGAGCGATTCAGTAGCAAGAAATCACACTACGATCTGTTCAAAGCCTGACTGCAATGTGTTCAGAAGCGAAAGGAAAGCTACCACAGGGTAGACAACTGTTTTGAAAAGTCTGCCAGTGAAATGATGGACAGAAGGTAGTAAATTGAGTGGAAGATGATCATGTGAGGGCTGCTTTTTGTTTAAACAGGAATAACTGCTGTAGATGGGATGAGGGGGAAAACAGTGGAGAGGAAAGGAAGGACAGAGGATGCAAGAGAGATGTGATGGCAAATGGCTCAGAAGTAGGAGACATCGAGAACCCAGGGAAGAGATTCATCTTGGGAAATAAGAGGGCCAGAAAAGCAAGGAAAAAAATGAGTAGAAGAGACATTTGAAGGAGGAGATGTTGAAGAGGCTGTGGTCAGTTGGTCCTAATCTCAGTAAAGTGAGAAGTGGGTCATCTGAGAGAGGTACTAGCAGTGGAGTTGGGGGAGTGAGGAAAGTGGAGCTCCTGGGTAGAGTAACAAGGTAGTAAACTGCAGAGAAAAGAAATGTTCAATTGGACTTGTAACCACTGAAGGTGACCAGTATTACTCCAGTGGAAAATCATTCAGTGGCTTTCTTAAGTGACTTTCTTCAGCAATCCTTGGTAGGCTAAAAGTAACAATAGGGAAAAAAATGTATGATTGAATTTTCACTGGGCACTGGCAAAGTAGGTAAACTGGAAAGATAAGAATAAAGGAATTCTAGGGTGCTAAGGGGGAATTGCAATTCCCTTCATCAATAGATGTTTACTGAGTACCTATTACATGCTGAGCACTATGCAAGATGCTAAATAAGTTCCTTACTGTCATAGATTTTAAAGTTTAATGAAGGATATAGACAAATAAGCCATAATAATACATTTTGATAAATGCCATAATACACAGTGGTTCTCAACTGGGAGAAAATTTACCCTCCAGAGCAATGATGTCTAGAGACATCTTCAGTTGTCATAACTTGGGGGGTGCTACTGGCATCTAGTAGGTAGAGGCCAGGAATGCCGCTAAACATCCTACAATGTGAAGGACAGCCTCCAAAATAAAGAATTATGTAGCCCAAAATGTCAACAGTGCCTAGGTTGAGAAACCCTGCTATAAAGGCACATAAGAGGTACATCAAATCTAGACATGGGAGGTCAGAGATTTTCTAGAGAGATTACCATATAAGCTAAGACATGTAAGGATGGAGAAAATATGCAGGCAGTGGAGTGGAAAAAAATTTGCATGGCATGTACAAAGACCCAGAAGCTGGAAAGAGCATAGGACAATCAGCAGTATTCTAACCATCACCACCACCACCATTATTTATTGAGTAAATATTTTATGCCAGGCTTTCTACAAGATAACTGATACACATTTTAAAATGGAGTTCTCATTAACAATCCTGTGAATCAGATATTTCTCCATTTTACAGATGAGGAAAAACTGAGGCACAGAAGCTAAGTAAGTTGTCCAAGGTCACATGGCCAGTGAATGGTGGGGCCAGAAGTTGATTCTAGGTCTGGCTGACTCTAATAAGCCCATGCTCAATCACTAAACTCTCCTGCCTTTGATGATGGCGGAGTCTACTGGGGGACAGGGTGTGAGAGGGGAGAGTAAGAAGCAACACTGGAGGGAAAAGGAAGCCACATTCTGACAGACCTCATAAGCATGTGAAGGCATCTGGAGATCATCCTCAAGGCAGTGGAAATTCATGGCAGGCTTTTAAATCAGAGAATCAAATGATCAAATCTATCTTTAAGAAAGATCACTTCTGGCTGCAGTATAGAGAAAGGAGAGGAGGAAGGGAGGCAAGTTAGGAGGCTGTTGTAATATATAAATCCTGAGATTGCTGTAGCCTGAACAAGTGTCAGTGAGGAAAAAATGAAACGAACGGCCACAGGGCCTTCGCTGGAAGTTTTAAGGGTCATAATGTCATCAAGGGACTACCAGAGTTCAGAACAAATGAACAAATAGGAGGAGTGTTTGAGGAAACAAAGTATGTTAGGGAGTTTGGTCAGAACTGAACCTAAGTTCCAGAAGGCAGAGAGGCACTGGCAATGAATGAGGGTCAAATGGTCTGGGAAGAGTTAGGGATGAACTGGATAGAGACAAACGGATAAGGCCATGGCTGACAAGAGGCTTAATATAGAATTGAACAGCCCTAATATTTTAGGAAAACACTGACATTACTATAAGACATAGACCACTGCTATCCAACAGAACTTTTCATGATAATGAAAATATTCTATTAATATATCTGCAGTATCTAATATGGCAATCTCACTAGTTACATGTGGTCTTTAAGCACTTAAAATATAGCTAGTGTGTCTAGGGAAAATACATAGCAACTTTAATGGATTAAGGTGTGGCCCCCAAACACAGCAATGCATCAACAGTAAACTATCATTCAAAGTGCCTAGAACACTGATCACTGTTAATCATTATTGTTACCATTATTCAGTATGTTCGAGTTAGCTTACAATGAATCTATACTCATAGATGAAGATGTTTTAAATACACATATATTATTATCTTTGGCATTTCTGAATATTCTCAAAATTTCCCATGTATAGAGGAAAAATATTTATCTTTAGTCATATGAACAGATAAAACTAATGACTGAGTGTTAAGATTTTCATGGTATTGAAAATTATCAGCAAATAAAAAGATTAAGCACACAAGTCTCTCAAAGTATGTTACCATATGGTACTACATTCTCTGAACAGTGATATAACAAGAGTATTTGCAGAGGAGTAAGAATTTTCCAAATAGCAAATTTGTTTAATTTAGAAAAATCAACATTAACAGATTGGTATTCACTTTGTGTTTGTAAAAGAGAGTTCAGTTATGGAAGAACAACCAAAGAAATACTAAGAGGAAAAAAAAAGAAAGAGCGATTCTCCAATGTCTTTATTTGCATGTTATGAGACTTGCCTTGGTTTTTTCAAAATTGGCTTCCTCAGTCATCTGCACAGCTTGTTTCACCTGTTCGTAAGCACTTGCTTCTCTTTGCTGCACATCTGCCAAGCTGCTTCTTATGGAAACTAGTACAGACATCAAGTCATCTCTTTCTCTGTCAGCACAAAAAGAACATTCAAAACAAGGAATGATCAAATGATCATGTACACATAAGTCAGGAAAAAAAGAGTATTAGTATGTATTAGAAGAGCCAGGGTGGGCCAGCTCAAGCATATATTAAATAAAGCATGCCCCAGAGAAAGACCCTCTGTCCTTACTTGGAGAGCAGCAAGCACAGCAGCCAGAAAGGCTGAGAGCATTCATGGCAGGACTGCATCTGTGTGGGACAATAACCTATTGTGAAGAGGGCTGCAGAGTAAATCCCAGAAAAGAGCAAATTAGTTCTAAAAAGGGAGGAAAGAGATGCTGAAAAGGGAAAATGCAACAAAGTAGGGAAGGTAGGGATTGCACCTCAAAGTAGGAGTCAACATTTTAAGAAGCAACTAAGGCTTTGTTCATGCTGTTGATTCTTCTCTCACTTACTTGAACAAATATATGTCCTTTCCTTTTTGTCTTTCTCTGCAATCCTTTTTTTCCTGTCCTTTTCTTTCAATTGAATTCTTTCACCTACTTAGAACATATTCTTTTCTTTCAATGGGTACTACTCTGAACACCTCAAATCCCTTGGTTCCACATATAACATTCACAATTTAACACAATCTTATTCCACTGGGTTAATCATTGCCAAGCCCCACCTCCTTCTCAGCAATTCTCAGAAGTACCCTAAGCTAAGCTTTTTTTGGGGGGTAGAAGTAAACCCCATGCCAAAATGCTTTGGCATGTAAAAAAGCAAGAATCCAATCTCATTAGGTTAAATAGATCCCATATAAAACATTCCAGGATATTTGGAATTTATCGACCACATAAAAATGTTCAGTAGACCAAAGAGAAAGTGAGGTGGGAAACTTTCTATACTGGCAAAGCAAAAAAAAGTTTGTTGGATTGTCACATATGCTATTCCATGCTTTGTTAAAGAGCTCAAGTTTTAAACTGTGGTTTCAAATTCATTTGAAATAAATGCTTGCAGTTTCCTTTTCATTGCCAAGTTCTAAACTATCAGAAAAGAGCCAAATGTGATTTTTTTTAAAAAAGCAAGTTTCAAAGAGTCATAGTTTAGAAGATTATATACTCTGAGTCTGAATTACTTTCAGAATTAACCAATGACTCTATTAAAAAAAAATCTTAAAGGTAAAATAATTTAAACTATTTGTGGTATTTGGAAAGCAGCCACATTTTAAGAAACATTTAATACTGAACAAAGCTACAATTATTAGCAGTTTCATAAAAGCTCCTTTTGTTTAAAATAAGAATAAATCACCACCAAATATATTAAAATTCATGGGAACATAGTGATATTCACTTTAGAATTTCCTGATTTGTTTTAAATTGATAAAAATAATTTAATTTTTTTATTCTAAAGAAAATGAAAAAAGAAGTAAATTGTTTTGATCAAATATAATCAAGCACAATGATTATGTGAAACAGAAGAATCAAAGCAAGATTAAATTATTCTAGTAAAGTAAAAAAATAAATTAAATGCAAACAAAATTGAATTTGTATTTATTTGCTTTTCAAAAATGCCCTATAACGTCCAAGGGGACTAGCTTTATCGAGAATATGCAATCCAACTAGGACCTGTGATTCTAGAAGAAAAGAAAAATTCACTCTTTAAGGATAGCAAGTCAACACAGACATCATATAGTCACCTTTCTTAAATTTCTAAAGTTACTATTAGAAAAGCAAAAGTTACTATTCTTCGATATTCTTATCTGTTCCCGATACCATGCCATCACAAAAACCAAAGCTCCAAATAAAAGGAATGAACAAAAAAGCTCAGTATTTATCAGTATGCAAACAAATCACAACAGGATCAAAATCTAAAAAATTTGCTTCTTTTTTGAGACTTATGTTTAACACACTTAATCTCTTTTCAGGTTATCCTCTTGCCAACAGTAGTGTTTGCCGCACAGCAGATGCTCAATGAAATAAACGACAAAAGAACAAATGAATGAATAGGAATTTGCTATAGGAAGATGTCAAAAATGGTGACATAAGGCTCCCTCCTGGTTCTAATATTTTATGGTCTAAACTGAAAACCCATCTGACTATTTAGAATTCAAAAATAAATAGTTGCTCTGGTTCAAAACGTTTTCAGAATATAAGCTCACCAACTTTAGACTACTGAACCACAGAAAATCAACAAAGACAAACCCCAAAATATAGATGTCTTGTTAAACTCATCATTAACAGTGAAACCATAAAATGATTATACTAAAAATCTGTATAACCACTGGACTGATATGCTGCAACTTTCTGTAAGACAAATAAATGCATTACATGCTTCAAGGTGGCCCTCAGCCCATCTGGGAGTCTGCAGGTAGCTATTTTAGCAATTTAGTATTATCTGCTTAGTAGCTAAATTTTGATGGTTTTGTTTTAACTCAGCCAGTCGATGTACCAAATAGCAAGATTAAAACTAACTAACTAACTAAATAAATAAAGAGCCCTGGGCTGGTGGCCCCTTCTCTCAACACAAGGCCTTGCTGCCTGCTCCATTTTGATGTTCATCTGGCTGTCACCTTCTTGACTCATCCCCATATTTCAGCTCCACACTTGTCCCCTGGGTCTAACAGTGCTACTCATGATCTGCCCCTTAAATACAGTCAATTCTGGCCACCCAGAGTTAACTGCCCACTCAGTTGTGGTCCTGCTTAAGCCCCAAGTCCACAGGGCCAGCCTAGAGCCAGGCCTGAGTGAGGCTCTCACAAGGTGAAGTTGTACAGACACAAGTGACATATCAATGTGAGAGTGAGAGGGCAGTTCTCCAAATTACCACCTTCCATGGCAAAAATTCTGTGGGTGCTTGAAAACACCATGTGAATATTTTAATGAAAGAAATCAAGGAGTTTGTTCAAGCAAAGCCAGCAACGAAGCATTAACCCTACAACATTCCAGGATCCAGATGAAAGAGCAGCTAAAGCAGAAAAATGACATAAAGAGTATGAAGACAGTTCTAGCGTGAAAAAGCACGTACTTACACACTCACAAGCAAGTAATATTTAAGGAACTTAGTGCAACAATCGGAGCCAGAAGGACTGAGAAAGTCCCTAAATAATCTCGGCCAAGTGTTTAAAATAAGCAAAAGAAAGAGTTGGTCTGATATATATTCATGAGCTTTACCTTGAAATACGGAGTGCCAAAGAAATGCCTTATAATTCCTAAATTATTCCAGAGTCATTATCAATTTTAAGCATTATTAAGCCTTATTTATAAGCATTATTACTACTATTTTTAAAAAGAATGCCTGGAAGGCTGACTACAACATTTCTTTGTTCCTCATTTCTGGGAAGTTCCTGCTACAGTCTTTCAAAGCCAACCATACAGAGCACTGCCAGTGATCCACCCCAAAATCACAAGCTGGACTAAAGTCCCAGAATAGTACCCTGGTAATCATTTCTCTGTTTTGAAAAGAACACGGCAACTTCTCCAAGGTACTGTGAGCTATAGAGAGGAATTTAATATAAAGCAGTGCCATCATGGTCAAGCTATAGAAAGGAATTTAATATAAAGCAGTACCATCATGGTCACCATTAGAAGGTATTTTGATTATTAAGCAAGAAAAAGAGGTTACTGTTACTCTTACCTACCCCATGGCATAAAGAGGCCCAAGTCAAAGGCAGAAGTTCAAAAACAATAAGAAGATTTCAAATCAACTTTAAAAATCAAATGTCATCAATGGTTGTAAAGTATACTCTCCAAAGTCCCTGAGGTCCTAATACATCACAAACACATAGGCAGTGTGGTCTTCAAATTATGCCTGTTAACTGCACAAGCCATTTTTGTGTCACATATTCAAAACAGTACATGATAAAGGACATAACAAGGGAGCTTAAAGCTGGTGTCAGCAATACCACATTTCCAAAATAGGCCAGGAAAATGTTTGATTTATCATATTTAAAGGTATACATATTTTTAAGTTCTATATTAAAAACATGTAGGAAATATTATGATAATGGCTTTTTGAGGGGTCAGGCTTCTAACTATACACAAAACTAGAAATCCAAACCTAAAAAGTGATAGACACTCTTCGAAGTCAGCACAACATTCAATACTGAGCATGCTGCATTAATAAATTGAAAGAAACTGAATACCAGCTTAGGGTAAAGGAATCCTACAGACAAAACTTTTCATTGACAATAAAAGCAGAAACCTTTTACTTGTTTTCTATATTAAAGCAGAATAGGATAGGATATGCTGACAAAGCAGAAAATTGAACTAAGTGGGTTGACATTTAAGAGGCTAAGAGCTCAAATTTAGGATAAAGACAAAGGAATACATAACTGACCAAGAATCTCATTTCTAAATGACTGTCAGACTTAGAATCAACATAAACATTATAGCTTCCTTTTAAAGTAATTTTCTCAGGATCTAGAAAGATAATATGAAAGGCAATGTAATGGGGGGGGAGACCTGTTTTTTATTTGTTGGTTAGTTTTGCTAGACTACCTAGTTTTAAACTTCTCTTTTAATCTGTGTAGCTTTGATTATGCTTTTTTTCTTTTTTAAATTAATTTTTTCATTACATTCTCCTCGCGAAATTAGTTGCCATTATGGTTAAAGGGCTATGTGACACACACTTTCAATTTCAATGCCTTCTTCCACCTCAGTGGTAATCACTGTTAAATATTTGGTGTTTATTCTTTCAAATATTTTTCTACCTAGAGGAAAAAATATGTAGTGTGGTTGTATATGGACTTAAAAAAATACAAATGGTTTCATACTGGATATATCTTTAGCTATTTTGTTTTGTTTTCATTTTCTTTCAACAATATATTTTGAAGACAGTCTCACATTAATACACACAGATCTACTTCATGCTTTTATTATACTGTGCACAGAATTTTATAGTTTATCTAAACCATTGTTTACTTTCCTTTGAAGGATATTTAGGTTGTTCACATCATTACAAACAATGCTACAAAAAGCATTCCCTATAAATGTCTCATTATGTATGTACATGAGTTTTTTTTTCCTAGGACAGATTTTGAAATGCACAATTTAAATATTAATAGCTAATGCTAAAAGTATCCTCCAAAGTAGTCTTACCAATTTATAGCTCCACTAGCAGAGTATGAAAATACTCACTTGTGACCTTACCAACACTTGCAACTATCAATCTTTTTTTAGTTTTTGCCAATCTGATGGGTTAGTTTTTTATTCTTTAATTGCATTTCCTTGAATACTAACATAATTAATACCTTCTAATATTTTGGCATCTTCCTCTTTTATTGCTCACCAATTTCTATTCTTTACCCATTTTGCAACTGGGAGGTTTGTCCTTTTCATTTGTTTCAAAAGAAATTCTTTATATATGGTATCAATCTTTTGTTATGTGTGGTGCAAACATTTTTTCCCAGCCTTTTAACTTAATTTGTAATATTTTATTGTAAGGAAATTTGTTTTTTAATGGAGTCAAATGTATCATTTTTTTCCTTTATAACTTCTACTTTTCATGTCACCCTTAGGACTATAGCGAACCCAAGGCTATTAAGATATTTTTTATATTTACTTTTAATGCTTTTACAGTCTGAATTATGTCTGAACCTTTAAACTATTTTGAATTTATTTTTGTAAGGTACAGTTCTATTCTTTTTTTTCCAAATATAAACAGGCAAATTTTTAACTTTTCTGAGCCTCAGTTTCCCCAAGTTACAAACTGGAGGTAATAATATCTACCTCGCAAATGCTTTATTAAGATTAAAAAAAGATTATGTTTTTAAATTGCCTGGCACAGTCCTTGGCATATAATAAATGTTCATTACATGTTTGTTGGACCTGAAAATATATTTAATAGTTATATCAAATTTATATGTATAATTTAATGACATATTTAATAATTAACATAATTCTTAATGAAAAATAGACCACTAGTACAGATCATAAAAACTACCAGTCAGTTCATACTGGAGATCCAATTTTTATATAATAACCAATAGGTTAGTCATGTGTGGCAACCACAACTATCAGACATATTGATCATTCCTGGAGTATGGAAGGCACAAAAGAGTTTTAACATTTATTGAGCATTTACTATGTGTCAGGAAGTGTTTTACACACTTTTCAGGTTTTCTCTCAGAATAACCCTATAAGTTAGGTTCTTTTATCACAAGAGATAAGTATTATTCCTCCAAACAATGGAAGGTGCCAGGCTCAGAGAAGTAGTTGAAGGTCAAGACATAGAGCAAAATTGGTCTGACTTTAATGACCACACTCATTCCACTCCTCCATATCAATTCCAACCAGAAGATCTCTGACTGCTAAGCAGTGAATGCCAAAATGCCTTATCATATGAACAGGAAACATTTACTGTCTACTATAGGCCAGGCACTCTGCTGGGAACAAGGGGCTACAGAAATAAACAACACACAGCTGCTGCCTCCATGTGTACAGTATATATTATAAAATCACAGAAGAAAGAAACCTAAGTTAGTTGAGGACAAAATGGGGCAGAGCTGGTGAGAGACTATTTCTGAAAGGAAGTGATGTTTGGGTTATTTAAATGAGCAGAGCAGACAGAGAGAGGTGACCTTGAACACAGAGAAAAGCAGGGGACATGGAAGAACACACTCTATAAATCACCTCTGAATTCTGTATTAAATAATAATTCTCAACTTCCACTAAATAAAATTTTCACAGGAAAAGGCTTCCTCTGGGATAGTGAAAACAGAACAAAAGTGATATACACAGAGAATTGTAGCATTCCAGCCTAGATAAAAACTGACAACATAAAAGCTCATTTATAACTTGTCCTTAGTTAACTCTCAAATATTAATACCAGGAGACAGTGGGTCTTTCTTCTAGTACACTCCTAATATTCTTTACAACAGACACGTGATAAAGACGTGGTAATAACTCACTCTACCTAAACTACAGCAGGGAAATCAATGATATGGCAAAATCAAAGGAATTCCTACCACACTGTTTTGTTAAGAATAATGCTGTCTTCGTAATTTGTCCTAGAACTGGACAGATCTGTAGAGATTATCTAGTTCAATTCTCTCACTTGAAGATGAAACTGAAACCAAGAGATAAAATTATTTATTTAAAGTGACATGGTTACCCACAGTCGGCAGAATCTACCCATTTTGTCTTTGAGGAAGCTATAATGAAGCAATCTTTTAAAATCCATTTTATTTGAAGCTTAACATTAATCACATGTTATTTAGCATGGGGATAAAAGAACACAATGCCCCTTTAATGACACGATTTTCCATGTTGCCAGAGACTGCACAGAGAAGTATACTTACTTAGTCAATCTTTCAATGGTCTGCATGTGAACATCACTGTGGGTTTGGGAAAGAACAGCTTCATGCTGAGCACATTTCAAACAAAGACCGCCAACACGGTTAGAAATATTAGCAGCAAGAAGAGATTCTTTATGCTTTAGTCGCTCTTTAAGATCTTCACAAGTTTTCTGATATTCAGCTAAATCTTTCCTAAAAAGGGGAAAAATATTCTAGGAAATGGCCAGGTAAAAGTGTACTATTTTCAAATAAATCATCATAATGATAACTATTATTATCATTTATGGATGTTTACCTTATGCTTTACATACAATACCTTATTAATTTATCACAAGCCTGCAACTTAGATGTGATTATCCTAATTGACATGTCGAATATAATGAGACTTGAATATATTAAATAATTAACTCAGGTTCTTGTAAGATTTTAATACGGATTAGAGTCTGCCTCTGATACTAGTTCTCTTTTCACAAGATCCAACCTTCATTAACATCATATTATCCCCCCCAAAAAATGAAAGTCCAAATATAAATCCTAAATAGTTTCTCTTAATAAAGGGATGAGGCGATATAATACAACATACTTGAAATGAAGAAAATACCCTATTTCAACTCCTTAAAATTTATAGAAAGTACAAGTTCACATAAAGAACATGGCTTTTATCCATGACTAAGTTATTAGCATTGCCCAGTTTTCTTCAGGCAGAAAGCACAAAACATTATCTAATCACAAAGTTCTACAAAGACCTGTTTCAAAAGAAAGTGGGCTACAGAAAGCAGTTATATAGAACTCGTCAACCATACTATTTCAAAAGTAGCAGCTATAAGCTGGAAACATGTAGCTTGCTAAAGAAAGTGCTGGAGAATCGAGTCCCTGTGTGTGTGTGTGTGTGTGTGTGTACAGTTTTTGTTTGTTATTACTTTATGGGCTTGCCCCTGGATGACGTTTTTCTCCAAGTTGACTTTTTAAGCATTAAGTGACCAGCATACGGGTTGCATTTTCTGCCTCCCCATGACAATTGTGTAATGTCAACTTGGCAACTGAGCTTCCTTGTCCCTTTCCTACTGCATATATTTTTTTAAAAATCAGCTTCTAGCTCAAAAAGGAGATTACTGAAGGCAAGTACTTTATCTCTAGCCCAGTCTACTCCCTGTTGTCAGAGTTTCTATGCTCGGGGTCTACAGCTGTCTTAACTTGCTCAGTGTCACAGAGAAGAAGCCCACAACCAAGACATCTGGCTGTCACACACTGCTTCAACTGTTGGGATTTGCAAGCAGCCCAGGGGAGGTGGGAAAGAGCCATAGGCCATCTAAGTGTTAAAAAAAGCTAATCTCATGACAGTCTGAAGTTGAGGGGTGAGGGTGGGTGAGGAGGGGAAGAGCCGAGGAGCTATTTCTGTCCTATCCCTAAAATAATAGCTCCAACGTAGTAAGTGTTTTTCAACAACATGTGGAGAAAGTCTGACTTTCCAAGGCTTTATAAAAAGAACTTTGGAAACACATTCCAAAGTCAAAGGGTCCTCATTACTAATATCTGTCAGGTCCAAACTCAAAACACTCAAGTAGATTTGGTTATTGGAAATGGAAAAAGAGAAAGTTAAAAAGAAATAGCTACCATACAGCCAGAGATTCTGAGAGGAGTGATTTTATTTCTTTCTTTAAGAAAATGCCACTTTACAGTGAAATTAGTCTGTATGAAAGTATAATTATAGATGCATGTTCTTACATGTTTCTCAAAAACCAGACCATGTACAATACCAAGAGTGGATCCTAATGTAAGCTATGAATTTTGGATAATGATAATATGTCAATGTAGGTTCATTGATTATAGCAAATGTACCTCCCTGGTTAGGAATTTTGATAGTGGGGAAGGCTATGAATGTGTGGTGGGGGAAAAGGGTATGTAGGAACACTCTGTACTTTCTGCTTAATTTTGCTTTGAACCTAAAACTGTTCTAAAATAATGTCTATAAAAATTGTCTTTCAAAAACGGTTTTTCCTATTAAAATAATTTCTAAAACACTAGAAAAAAAAAGAAAATGCCTCTTTAAATAATCTTAAATTATGCTAAAAGAAAATAAAGAAACAGAAGGATACAGGGAACAAAGCTTAGAGTTCATAGCAAGTTGTGATTTTAATATAATTAAAGATGGCATATTTAAATTATGAATGAGACAAAATAAGTCACATTCCCAGAAGCATAATGACCTAGAAATACATTACTTCAAAAACTAAAGAATAAGGCTGGGCGCAGTGGCTCACGCCTGTAATCCTAGCACTCTGGGAGGCAGAGGCGGGTGGATCACTCGAGGTCAGGAGTTCGAGATCAGCCTGAGCAAGAGTGAGACCCTGTCTCTACCATAAATAGACAGAAAGTAGCCAAACAACTAAAAATAGAAAAAAGTTAGCCGGGCGTGGTGGCGCGTGCCTGTAGTCCCAGCTACTTGGGAGGCTGAGGCAGGAGGATCGCTTGAGCCCAGGAGTTTTAGGTTGCTGTGAGCTAGGCTGACGCCATGGCACTCACTCTAGCCGGGGCAACAGAGTGAGACTCTGTCTCAAAAAAAAAATAAAAAAATAAAAACTAAAGAATCAAATCACAATAGAAATCAAGTAAGATAAAAAGGAAGAAAGCGAGACCATTTAAAAAATGTTAAATTTCTTTGTGAAAAAGTAAAACTCTCTATAGAAACCCTAAAACTAGTCAGGGTAATCTATTAGAAAAGCATAAAAAGTATTTTTAAAATAAATGAACAATAACATGTATAGTGAAAGCCATGAGTTCTGGTTCTTAGTATTACTCTAGTTATGTCTCTAAATGGCATATGGCCTGGAAGATTTTAAAACTTATTTCAAATTGGACTTATTAAAATAAAATTATAAAAGTATTTTCAAGTTTATTTGATTTGAAAATACTTTATTGCCATTATTAAAATAACCTTTAACAAAAAAGTTTATTAATTCCTGGTGTCATTTTCTACTCATTATACATAAATCACTAATGGTTAATCTATAATATATAAGTTTTATTGCAATCTATAATATATAGATTTTACAAAAAGTACATGAACATTCATCATATATACTCTAATTCACCATGCATACAAATACTCGAAGTATTCTATCATTGTTGCAATCTTAAAATTAGGTGAAGAATATTTACAGAGAAAAAAATCTTGCTTATAATTTGAAAACTGGACTGCTTTATTTTCACTATTTATTTTACTTTAAAAACATAATTTCTTTTTTTTTTTTTTTGAAACAGAGTCTCATTCTTCTGCCAGGGCTAGAGTGCCGTGGCGTCAACCTAGCTCACGGCAACCTCAAACTTCTGGGCTCAAGCAATCCTTCTGCCTCAGCCTCCCGGGTAGCTGGGACTACAAGCATGTGCCACCATGCCCGGCTAATTTTTTCTATGTATTTTTAGTTGTCCGATTAATTTCTTTCTATTTTTAGTAGAGATGGGGTCTTGCTCTTGCTCAGGCTGGTTTCGAACTCCTGAGCTCAAACAATCCGCCCACCTCGGCCTCCCAGAGTGCTAGGATTACAGGCATGAGCCACCGCACCCGGCCTAAAAACATAATTTTCTATAAGAGCAGCTAGTGATTCTTATTTCTATGAGGAAACACAAATATGTTACAACTGATGAAGGGATAAATTTATAAATTAGCTCATAGAAATGGGATTTGGAAAAGGACTCAAAATTTTATGCTCCTTTAACCTTTAATAATCTGAGGAAATTTTTTATGTTGCATACAAAATGTCATCAAATAATTCTGATATTGATTAAAACTGGCAGTTCAGCAAACACTCAAATACATTTCAAGATTACTACAGATTGGTATGACTACAAATGGATGAGTTCTCTTTACCTCAAAAACTTCAATTGAGATTCCAGGATTTCACTCTTTTCCTCATAGATAAGTTTTAACCTCTCCTATAGAAAAGAAAAAAAAAAAGTACATTTTCTCCATGTTTTGTGCTTTATAAGCTAATTTTAATTGTTAATATTAAACTTATTTTTTTCCATTTACCCAAGAGAAAAAACAATGTGTCTTCTCAGGAAACATTTTCCCTAGTCCACCCCAAATTTTCTATTTTTACTGGATGAATGCCTGTAAAGAACTACTGAGTCATAAAATGGTGATACCTAACAATTTTTTTTCTTTCAAAATTGCATACATCAATTCTTATCCCCAAACATGTGACTCTGGGAAAAACCAATTATAATCTATAAGATCCACAAGGGCAAAGATCAAATCTTATTAGAATCCCCCATTATGGCTGCTGCATATTGGACATACAATAAATATGTGTTGGATGAATAACAAAAAGTGAAGTTATGAATCATATGTTGGTTGACCAAACTGATAAACTATCTAAAGATTCCGCTTGTATCTATTCTTTCATTCAACAAATTTTTTTTTTTGGCTCTCCTCCTCCTCCCTCCCATTCAACAAATATTTATTGGGTATCTAAGATGAAGGTGGCTTGAACCTTGGAACTTATACAATATTCCAGGAAGGAATAGAAAGACAGATGAACAATTTCAATTACAACTGACCCTTGTATAACACAGGGGTTTGGGTACTTACTCCCACACAGTTGAAAATCCATGTATAACCTTTGACACCCCCAAAACTTAACTACTAATTGCCTACTGTTGACCAGAAGCCTTATTGATAACATTAAACAGTTGATTAACACATATTTTGTATGTTATGTGCATTATACACTGTATTTTTTATAATAAAGCTAGAGAAAAGACAATGTTAAGAAAACTATAAGAAAGAGGAAATATATTTACTATTTATTAAGTGAAAGTGGATTATCGTAAAAGTCTTCATCTTTGTTGCGTTCACATTGAGGCGGCTGAGGAGAAAGGAAGAAGAGGGGTTGGTCTTGCTGTCTCAGGAGTGGCAGAGGCAGAAGTGGAGGAGGTGGAAGGGGAGGTAGGCATACTCAGTGTAACTTTATGGAAATACATCATAACTGCTGTCATTTTTTTGCTTTTTCATTTCTCTTAGAATGTTCCTATTAATATATGGTACCAATCCTTCTTCCACCATTTGCCTTAGTTTCTGTACACATATCATAGAAGGGCCCATGTTGTAACAGAAGTCGAAAGCAGTCTTGAATAACTGGAACCCTTCTGCCAGATTGTCTGGTGTCCATTTGTTTTCTGGCACTGCTTCTTCTATGTCTTCTTCCCCATTGTCTGGCACTAGTTTAGGAGCACTCACCTCCATCAAGTCATCTTCTGTTAATTCCTTTGGTGTAGTGTCTATTAGCTCCTGAATTTCTCCAAGATCCATATCTTGAAACCCTATACCACCCCCCTCACCTTTTTTTGCCATATCCATGATCTCTTTCATGATTTCCTTTATTGGCTCTGTTGTAAGTCCTATGAAGTCATGTCCAGCCATGGACAAAATTTTCTCCAGCAGGAAGTCGTTGTTTTGGACTTGATGGCTTACCAGCTTTTTTCTATAACAACGATGTATCTTCAATGGTGTAATCCTTCCAGACTTTCATTATGTTCTATTGGGGTTCTCGTCCATAGCGTTGACAATCCTTTCCATACAGTATCACGTGTAATGAGCCTTAAAGGTCCTTGTGACCCCCTGGATCTAGAGGCTGAATTAGGGGCAAGTAGACTACTTCAATAGTGTTGAACTTATGGGGTTCTGGGTGGCCAGGGGCATTGTTCAATAAAAAAAATAAACCTTTAAAAGGCAGTCCCTTACTAGAAAGGTACTTCCTGACTTTAGGGACAAAGCATCAATGGAATTGAACCAGAAAAAAGGTTCTTCTTTTCCAGGCCTTCTTGTTGTATAATCAAAAGACTAGCAGCTGGTGTTTATTTTTTCCCTTCAAGGCTTGGGGTGTAGCAGCTTTATAGAGGAGAGAAGTCCTGATCATAAACCTAGCTGCATTTGCACAAAATAGTAGAGTTAGTCTATATCCTTAAATCCTGGTGCCTTAAATCCTGGTGCTCACTTTTCCTCCTTACTAATAAATGTCCTTCGTGGCATTTTTTTTTCCCAGAATGGGGTACTTTTGTCTGCATCAAAAACCTGATCAGGCAAGATTCTGCTGGTTTGCTGGCAAAACCCCCAAAAACAACAACAAAAAAACCCCAATCAGGCAGATATCCTTTCTCCACAATGATTTTCTTGATGGCATCTGGGAACTCCTTTGCTTTCTCTTAGTCAGCAGAGGCTACCTCCCCTGTTATCTTGATATTTTTTAAGCCAAATCTCTTTCTAAAATTATCAAACCATCCTTGCTGGCATTAAATTCTCTAGCTTTAAGACCCTTCTTCACCTTCCTCTTAAATTGTCATAAAATGATTTTTTTTTCTCAAATTATATTAGTCTACAGGTATAACTTTCTTATAGCAATCCTTCACTCACATAAAAGCTACATTTTTAATATGAGATAAAAGGGTATTTTGTAAAAAAGTGGAAGGTTTTTATGCCTACTGGCATGGCTGCAGCAATGGCTTCATGAATTTCCTTTTTTGTTTTTACAATGGTCCTTATGCTGGATTCATTTATCTTGAAATGGCAGGCTCCCTACCACAGCCGCAGACCTCAATCTATAGTACGTACCAAGCAATTCTACTTTTTCTTGTAATGTCATGACTTTTCTCTGCTTATAGGTCCCATGGTGTTATTCAAGGTTTACAGTATTGCAGTAATCACAATGAAAACTACACGAGAACCATGAGAGATCACTTCTTACTGTGATACGCAATTTACTCAAGAGACAAACTGTTAACACAATTGATTAGCGTCAAGCAGATACTTGAAACACTTGAACTTCCACAATAGCAACAGGAGGTGGCCACAAAATTATTAATATTAAAATAGTATAATATCTACTATAGTTAATTTTATGCAGTTATGATTTAATACTGCATCTTCATGTTTGTTTACATTTCTCTCAACTGTGAATGGCTCCATGTATGGTCTGTAAGTCTGTGTGCATAGTTTTGGTAAATTTTAACTTCTTATATTAATAGATTTTGTATATTTATGGTAATAAATGATAAAATGGATAAAATGGACTAGAATCTATATATATTTTATGTATTCATGACATACTTACTTTTTCTTAATTTTTTTGATATTTCTAGGCTATGTGGTTCATCTGCAAGTTTTATCAAATTGTCACAAATCTCCAAAAAGATTTCCAATGTACTTATCTTAAAAATACACAAATAAGTGGACCTTTACAGTTCAAAGCCAGGTTGTTCAAGAGCCAACTGTGCATGTAACTGAAATTATAGTTATCAAAGCAAGCAAGCAAAGTTACAAGGAAAGCCACAGAGTAGGACTATATATTTACATCACATACTGACAAAGGGCTTGTATCCAGCATATATAAAAAGTCCCACCAAATCAATGTCAGATACCTTAAAAAAATAAGCTGGATATCTGAACAGGTACCTCATAAAAGAGATAGCAGATGGACAATAAATATATGAAAAGATACTCAATTATACTAGTAATCATGGAAATGCAAATGAAAACCACAAGACAGCACTTTAAGTCCACCAGAAAAATTGACAATACCATATGTTGGCAAGGACATAGAGCAACAGTATCACTCTTATACTGACGGCAGAAGTGTAAACTGATAAAACCACATTGAAAGGTTGTCATTACCTACTCATGTTGAACATAAACATATTCTAAGACTGACTATTCTACTCCAAGGTACATACATAACATAAATGTGAGCAATGCATATCAATAGACATATAAAAGAATGTTTATAGCAGCACTGCTCACAATAGCTCCAAACTGAAAACAACACAAATGTTCATCAACAGTAGATGGATAAATAAAATGTGGTATATTCATACAGGAGACCCACCGATGAAAATGAACAAACTTTGGCAAAAAATGGATGAATCTAACAAATGTAATGGTGAACAAAAGAAGCCAGATACAAAAGAACATATACTATACAATTCCACCGATATAACATTAAAAAAACAGGCAGAACTCAATTAGAGTATTTAGGGATGCATACCTGGGTATTTTTCTAAAAGTCAGGATAGGAAGGGGACATAAAGAGGGCTTGTGGAGCATAGTAAATTACACATCTTAACTCAGGTGATAATTATGTGGGTGTTCATTTAGAGATAAATCAAGGAGCTGCAAATTTTTGCTTTGTACACTTTATGGAATGCATGTTAAATTGTGTCATTAGAAAATGTAAAGGAGGAGGGCATGGTCAACCAATGTACATGTTATAGAAAGTTGCTGCTGGTTTAGGAAGATGAAGACTGACATGTGGAGGTCATTAATGACCTTAAAATGATCAACTTGAGTGAACTATAGGAGGTTGAGGTTCAAATGAAGCATATTAAAGCAAGAATGGGAGAGAAATGGAGACAAGAACATAGACAATTGTTTGGTGTGAACAAGAGCAAAGATATAGGGTGATAGTTGGAAGAGAATATAGAGTCAAAAGAATATATTTTGTGTTCATTTGCTTTAAGATAGGAGCTTTTAAAGAATATATTCTGTTAAGAATAAACCAGTCAAGAGGAAGAAAATATACAAGAGAAAGAAGAGATAAGTGCAAGATAGAACCCCTTGGAAAAAGTAAGAAACATTTGGGATGTAGAGCATACAAATGCAGAGATGGACCTTTGACATAAACAGGAAAAAAAGATGAATCTATAATAGTTATAAATACAATATTAGGGAAGACATAAAAGAAAAAGGAATTATAATGCAGGAAAAGAAAGAGAGGAAGCATGTAGTCAGGGAAAGTAGAATGAGAGAGGGCATTTGAATGAGCCTTGCAGACTGGAAACATTTTAATAGGTAGAGGATAAGAAGGAAACGTTTTAGGCAGGGAAGATTATATCAACAAAAGTTAGCTCTTCAAAGACAAAAGAAAGTCGGTAATAAGTTT